CAGACCTGTACCCCTGGGGATAAAAATATATGTTTATAAAAAATAAAATTTAAAAAAAAATGACAATGAGATATCACCTCACACCTGTTGGGATGGCTGTCATCAAGAGGACAAGAGACAACATGTGTTGGTGAGAATGTTGTAAAAACAGAACCCGACGTACACTGTTGGTGGGAATTTAAATTCGTCCAACCACTATGGAAAACAATATGTAAGTTCCTCAAAAAACTAAAAATAGATCTACCATATGATCCAGCAATTCCAGTTCTGGGTATATTCTTCAAAGGAAATGAAAACAAGATTTTGTTGAGACTTATGTGCACTCATGTATGTTGCAGCATTATTCACAATAACAGATACAGAAACAACCCAAATGCCCATCAATGGATGAATGCGTAAGAAAGATGTGGTATTATACATAGTGGATATTATTCAGCCGTGAATAAGGAAGATATTCTGCCATTTGCAACAACATAGATGGACCTTGAACACATTATGTGAAGTGAGGTGTCAGAGAAAGACAAGTACTGAGTGATAGCACTTATATGTGGAATCCAAAAAGAAAGTCAAACCCATAAAAAAGACAGGTGGTTACCAGGGGATGAGAGGTGGGGGATTAAGATTGATGGTGTTTAAGGGTCCAAGCTTGTACCAAGAAGTAAAGATAGAGATCTAATGCACAGTGTAATGAATATAGTTAATAATAACACACTATAACATTATAAATGAATATTGCTTCAATGGCAATCATATTAAAATATATAAATGTATCAAAGTAACATGTTATATATTTTTAATTTACAAATTGGAAAAAGTTCAATTTATCAAGTAAAAAAGCTATTAGTTTTCTTCATCAATCTACAATGCTGGTGATATTTAAAGTAATCATAAAGCAATGTGCATAGACAACAGTATCCAATTAATGGATTCAAGGACATTAATTCCAACTTTTATTTGCTTGGAGAAAATAGACTGTAGTGCTTTAAATTGCCTTTTCTCATTTTCATTAAGGAACATATCTTATGAATATTTTTCCTTTAGTTTTTAAGAAGAAAAATGTAGTCTTCATTAGAATTCTCCCTTTAAATTGGGTTTTCTGCTCATTTTTTGTATCTCTCAAATTATTATAAAACTATGAATTCCTAGTTTCATTTACATCTGAAACAAGACTTTGTTCAAATGCTGCATGGCTCGTATTTACTTTCCTTTTTTTTTTCTGTAAACTGTCAGTGGCTTTCCACTGCCTTTGGAACAGAGATCGAAACTACTTTATCCCGAAACTTAAAGTCCTTTGTTAGCTGTTTTCTTCTTTTCTTCCTGAATTTACCTTCCACTATTTCCTGGTTTAGCCATTCTCCCGAAGACAAATTCATTTTCTAAAAGAGTTCAGGAGCAGGCCTAGAGAGAGAAGCTCAACTCAACCTTCTCAATTAAGCATTCCCTAATTCTCACTGTTGCTTTTTTTCCTCTTTCTGTGATGTTTGGAATTTATTTTTCTTGTTTATGTCTGCTTTATAAATTAAATTCTACTAATCTTGTGCAGGACAGGAGTTAAGCTTTGTGACTTTTTACCTTCCCAGTTCCCAACGTAGTATTCCAGAGGGGCTCAGGAACTGGAAGCCCATGTCATCTGAGAGTCTGAAGTAAAACATCTCTCTTGAAACAAATCCTAACATTATTGAAATGTACGAGTTTGGCAGATGAACATTTTCCCGTTTACCAGTAGAATGAATTAAGAATTATTTTTTATTTTTTTGTATAGTTGCTCACTGTAGCAAAACCTGAATTTTAGACTAATTTCCAGGTAATTAAAAGTTTATCTCCACATAATATTTTTCAGAGCATGTATCAAATGACTACTTTTTTAGAATCCTGAAATATATAAATTAAAAGGACTATAGACATTATTTAGATCAAATAAATTATTAATAAGTAAATAAATAATTTAGATCAAAAGGCTAAGAGCAGGTAAGTAATAGAAGGATCATGGCTAAGATTTGTCTCTTTGTTAGAAAAATAGCCAAAGAAAAGGGATGTTAAATCAAACAAACAAAACATAAGACAAAGGTGATAAAATGGACCACAATTAAAAATTAATAATTCTTGATTCATCAGCATACATTGTCATAATCTGCTTAGGTATAGGAACAATACAAGTTCTGTCAAATTGTATAGGCCAGCCAAGAAGTGAGTCCTTCTACAGGTGCTATGCATAGACACAGTTTAAATGAACTAAAAGCTAAATATATTTGAGGCAGCAATCTATAAAGTGTAAGTGTGAATTAGTTTTGCCTTTATTTACTATTATAGTTATTTGCTTTGTTTTCTTTTCCTAGATACTTAATCCGACCAGATCCACTGGCATACCTTCCAAACAGTGAACCCAGTCGAAAAAACAGCATCTGCAATGCCATGGGTCAAGACTCTCGGGAGGAAACTCAGCTTTGATAAAAGGAAAATAAGAGACCTTTTTCCCCTACAAGAATCTTGCTTGCAACAACTCTAACTCTTAGGGGAAGAATGAGTGCTGCTGGCAGGAAAGAAACTCGATCAGAATATATTCAGTTCTCTCATATTAAAAGCAATCTATTCTCTTAGAAGTATAGATTATTTTGAAAGTTAAAGTATTGCTTATTGGTACTCCTCCTATTAATATCTGAAAGACATCAGTGGAATGATTTTCAAAACCTAAATTAAAACAAAAAATTTAAATTGGTTATTTGTTTGACAACAGTCCAAACTGTATGAAGGTAATTTTTAAAAGTGTTAAGGTTTTATGAAAGTAAACAAAAAACTCCAACTGTATTTGGTGCATCACAATGGTCATAGAAGTTTGTGGCTCCTCTTAAAAATTAAAGTCATATTATATTCTTTAAACTTGCGTTTTATAAAATTGAGTTCATCATAAATGTCTAGCATCTACACAAAGATTAACCAACAAACTTGTATGGCTGACTTTTGTGTAAGAATCAGTTTGCTTTAGAGTATAAATCTTTAAATCATTTTAACCTTTTTCGTTGCCTTTTCATATGGTATCATACTCATTTTAGAATTTGAGATGTTCACAGCATGTTTTATAACATTGAGGAAACCAAAACAAACAAAAAAATATCAAGTACCTGAACTTTTTGCTTACTTAATGTCTGACACACATTGTATGCCAAGAAAAATGTTAAAAATCAAATATTTATTATTCTCCTAAAAGAATGCCTAACTGAGAAAATACTGAAAACACATATGTTGACTTCAGTTGAAGCCAAGAATTGAAACATTAACTGAAATATGCAGTATTGGTTTTCATTAGGCTCTTGAGCTTTAACATTTTTATAATTTATATAGCATATTTCATTAGAAAGGTACTTTAAAATTCAAACAGGCAAAATTATACCTTTTATGGAATAAAAGGACATTTCAAAACATTTAAAGTCCTCTATGCTTTTGTATTGAAATACTCATACACAAAACAATGGTATGTTAAAAATTTTTATTTAATTTTGAAAAATCATCTGTAGGACATAGGTTTTAACACTGTGAGGAAAAAACATGTAGTGAAGATAGGTAGTTTTTGCCACTGAAATGTAATATAAATCATGAAGAATTTTATAGTTACAAATTAAATATAAATTGATCCTTGGTATTATCTTTTTGGTTTATTCCCCTTCAGAAACAGACTGAGAAGCACAAGAGCACAGTTTACCAGGTGGTTGGAATCAGTTAAGGTATTCCCATGATAGAGACATCGGTAAATTGAAAAAGATATTTTTCCTCTAATTTTGTATCTTAAAAAAGTTCTGGCCTTGACATTGAATTTTAATTTCACAAAAAATTAGACATGTAAGACTAGAAAGGGATATTTTCTCCCTTCTCCTCACAAAGAAGCAGATAAGTTGGAAAGATAGTAGAAGAATTATAAAAAAAAAAAAAAACAAGTAAAGAAAGCCTAAAACTCCCCAAATAATTCTATAGAAATGAAAATGTAAATCCTAACATGTGAAATTATAGCTGATAGCCATTGTATAATTTGGCTTAGAGAGGATGAAATATGGCTATTTGTTATTGTTGTTTTTTAGAATTTTCCATTATTCTCATTTTAAAATAACAAAAACACCAAGAATTTCCTCTAAAACAGGGAGAGCCTATCTTTAACTTTCTTTAATCAGACAGGGAAGTAGAGAATTCATAACAAGTTACTTAAAATTGGAAGCGGACCTTAAAACAAAGATTGTATGCATATTCATGCATGTACATTGTAGACAAGTGAAATATACTGGACAAACTTATATATTCACCTGTAAATTATTCAAACTAAAGGCAGAATTGAACTAATATATGTAATAGATAACAATAACGGGTTTATTAACTTATTTTATATTTGCACATCAGTAATCAAATGTGATATTTCTTTGAGTTGCCATTTCATTACTCCATTAGAGTTATTTTTAGGAATAAATGTAAGATTTTATGAATATTCTATTTCCCCACGAGATCTCAAGTTTAGTATTTTTGCATTTTGACCATTGTCAAGACTAGGACTCTAAGCTAGGACATGACTATATTTCCTACAAAACTAAAAGTTTTGTTTCATAAATTTTACAAGAATTATTTTTGATTATGAACATTAGCCCAAATTTAATAATTGACACAATTCATAACAGCTTGCTATAATATTGATAGTTTATTAGTTTTCTGTTATTTAAAGCATAAAAAATGCTTCTAAAAGCCTTTTAACAAACTGTTGCCTTTTTAAAATACTTAACTTGCACACAAAAATAAAACATAAAGTCAATAATAGTCCTTGTAATCTTATGGGAATCGGTTCTGTTTATTGTCTATGTACCATTTTGCTACAAGTTACATTGAATTGCTTAAAATAAATAATAAAAATTATTTCTGATGGTGAAAACCCTTGGTGCTTTTTGCCAAAACTTCAACTGTTTAACCAATTATGTTCTGAAACTACAAAATTCCTTTTGTCACTTCTATATAAAGCAATACAAACATGAAGAAACACCAACATAAACATGAGGCCATCTCATTGGAAAAGATAACCATAAAAAAACCTGCTGAATCACTTCTTAATATAATAGTTTCTGAATAACTATGTGGTAGGAAAAAAGGAGGGAGGAAGGAAGGGTCAGGGAGGATGGAGGTAGAGAAGTGAACAAAGAGAAGGGAGGGAAAAGCAGAAAAGAAAAGGAAGGTGGAAAAGAATGAATGTAGGTGCTAGAAGAGAAATATTTTTTTATGAACCAGAGAATACTGTCCCAATACACTAATTTAAAGACTAGAAAAGCACTGGTTAGAGGGAAAACAAAATTTAAATGCAAAGATAGACTTTGGGTTCCAGGAAAATGAAGCCTATTCCTCCTAAGTACAGATACAAACTCTAGATATTATTTACCAAACAAGCATCAGAAGACTGAAAAGTGAAAAGAAGGAAGACAGACCAGGGAACTGGGCCTTTCAGAGCAGCATGGTGGAGAGATCCCTGGGGATTTTTGTTGCCTCCTATGTAGCCTGCTCTGCACATTGGGAAACACCCAGGAGCATGGATGAAAAATCCTGGAAGTAACCTGCTCTCTCCGTGCAAGGGACTGACTCCTGCACCGGGTGCTGCTTCCAGCCCAGACTTCTGATGTGCCTGCCCTTCTCCAGTCCACCTCCCCAGGGGCCAAGAGCCACCCTCAGCAGCCCCTCAGATGCTGTTTTCCTTGAGTGCCTCCAGTGAGACATTCCCCATGAGCGACTCTCTTGAAATTTCCAGCAGGTTCTACCAATGCAAGTACCACAGTGACTTCTGTAATTCTGTGAGCCACAGCTGTGCCACCTCTAATAGTCTTGATATCAGTCATGGGGTATCTTTGTGGGGCACTCTGCCTCAACTCTGATGAAGACTCATGCTCCTTATGGCTGCTGTTGCCATATTGTTTTCAAGTTCTCTTTGCTTAATACTGATCCATCTGTCCTTGCTCCAAAGCTAATAATTCTCTACATTAAGCTTTGTCTGTCTGAATCACTGTGTGGTTTCTTTCTCTAGATTGAATCCTGGCTGAGACACGATGTACAAATCAGCCGTTCTTCAATTTCATTAAGTCTGCGATAATGATGATATCAAATTTCAAGGACTGCAACATATAAGGACAGATTTGGGGAGAATTCAACAAATTAAGTAGCATCTGCAGGGAAACTTTTAAGACTGACCACGCTTGGGGTGCCTGGGGGGCTCAGGCAGTTAAGCATCTGCCTTGGGCTCAGATCATGATCCCAGGGATCAGGGATGGAGCTGCAGGTGGGTTCAAGCCCCCAGGTGGGCTTCCTGCTCAGTGGGGAGTCTGCTTCTCCCTCCCTCTGTCCCTCTCCCCACTCATGCTCTCTCTAATAAATACATAAAATATTTAAAAAAAATTAAGACTTCATCTTGTGAAGTAGTAGACCATTTTATTTCATTTTGCTCTTCTCTGTTTGTTGTTGTTCTTGTTGTTGTTGTTTTTAGTAGGATTGCTTTCCAGGCTATTTTATTTGGAGGGACATGTCAGCTTTAATTATTGTGGATCAATGTCATATACCAGTGGTCCTAAAAATATAGTTATTGGGCTTATAATTAAAGTCTGTGTTCTATCTTACTACACAATAGAATTATTTTATATCTAAAAATGTTTCAATAGAAACAAAATAATGATCTGTTGTCCTAAGTATAAATATAGCAGAGATCTTTAACGAACTGTACTATAATTTAGTCTCATCTTGAAGAAATTTATAGTTCTACACAGAGATTCATATTTTCCCTGTTTTTACTGTATACAAAATACGTTTTATCTTACGTGATACCAGGCTAGATAGCTTTGTGTTTGAAAATTAAATACAACTCTGAAACATTCCTAAATTTATGGACTATCATTCCCTGGATCTGTATATTATTAATATTCATATAGAATAAGAAAGCTTGAGATGGTCTTGGAACAGGAGCATTTATTTGCTTCTCTGAAAACTCTCAACTTTCAAAAGACAGGGCTATGAGATGTTATTACTAGACCTGAGGGAAGTACTGAAGTTGAGGTTTGTAAATACAGTGCTTAGTCGTACAGGGCACAAATAAATGATATAAGGCTAAAGGAATCACTTTTAACTTGTAAGTACTCTTTAATACTGATGATTGCCATATGTCAAAAATTATGCCAATACGCATCAAATGTATTGTATTCTAAATTTGAATGGAGACCATAGAATGAAACCCACAAAAGAAATCTGTCAATCTATCAATTTTAGTCCATTTAGGCTGCAAGAACAAAAATACTGTAGACTGGGTAGCTTAACAAATATTTCTTCTTCACTGTACTGGAGGCTGAGAAGTCTAAGATCAAGACATCAGCAGATTCAATGTTTGGTGAGGACCTGCTTCCTGGTTTATAGATGGCTCTCTTCTTGGATCCCCACATGGCAGAAAGTAG